CCAAATATTCCGTATCAAGATCAGTACATTATGTATGTGATGGGTGTCCTGTCTCATCAAAGGTTCATTATCTCACACCAGCAAAGTATCAAGTCAAATATCCTACAATCACTTGTGAAGTAAGCACAACATATCGACCACTGACAGAGAAAGAAAAGAATTGGTTTACTGAGAAGGTAATCATGTTAATTTAACACACTATGTATAACATTATTGATCTCAGGTGGAAACAAAGGACATGGAATCAATGGACAAAGTTGGAGCTAAATCTAAACAGGTATAGCAAGCAGTAAACTTATTTATAAATTCAATGAATGTTTTAGGAGGACAAGTCACATGAAGCTTGTGTACCTGATGTTGTATCTGGTGCAAGTACAGCTCAGAAATCTGTTAGTATACATGTTTTCATTTATTTAAATTATTATTGCTATCTTTTAGGACCCTGTCAACAAGAGGGAGCCAATTGATATATTCAAAGATCATTATGCTGATCTCATTGAGTGTATATCTGCAGATCATAATCTTGGGAGAGTTGCAGATCATTGTGTAGCACTGATAAGTGACATTACATTTGATAAAACCATGACTGCTGGTATCTCCAACTATGAGAAAGCACGTTCACTTGTGAATGAGCTACGCCTTAATCTCAAAGCATCCAAAGATCAACGCCAGTATTTATTGAAACTAATTAGCATATTCTACAAAATAAAAGATCCAGCATTGTCTGAGATAGCTGATACCATGAAATCAGAACTCTGAGGTCATCCTAATGACTAACACTAGTTTAACATACTTGCTGATTATTAAAATTAATTATTACTGAACAATGTTGTATTACTATTACTCCATTAGTACTTTGCTAATCTGTTAACTTAAACTACATTAAACCATAGACTAGTTTTGAGTGGGCGTAAAAATTAATTAATATGCACTGAACTGCTGATGAGGCACTTGCTGAGAGTAGACCTAGTTTTGAGTGGGTGTAGAGTTTAATCAACAAAGATAGGTTTACAATGATTATCTACAACTAACTGGAACTAATTAACATTTAGCTGGAGCTAATTTGTTTGTTCCTGGAGGCAATGACAGTGTTTTGTAAGTTGCTGACATTATTTTGTTTATCAAAGAAATTAATACAGTTATTTGTTGGGTACATTTTTTGTTTTTGTAAATTTATCCCTATGTACATTTATAAGTAAAGTTCTGATTCCAGCTCCTAGGAGTAGTCATCTTAAAACCCAGAAGCACTACCACCTTCCCAAGGGAAGGCAGCATTAGCCTGGTATCAGTTATCATAATGATATGTGTCTTTACCATTAGAGTTTCAGTCAGGTTGTGTCCAGCACATGAAGGAGTTAAGAGGAGGGACTAGTTTAATTGATTATTGTTTGAATATGTCTACCTTGCTTGAACTGAGAGAGAAGAGAAGAGAATATTTAATGGGAGGCAGCAAAACAGAGCAACAAGAAAGGTACTATATATTGAGAAATTTCACTTGTCACTACATATAATTTTTACATATTTTTGCAATCGCAAAATTTATTATGAAATTACAAACAAAACATGTGCAGTCTTTTTGTAAAATTTATACAATAGCCAATCAGTACCTCAAAATTTTTCTATCATTAACATATGTACATGTATTTATCAATTCTCCATTACATTTATATTGAGACATTAAGAGAATGCAATGGTCTATGAGAAACTGGGTAACCTTGGTAATGACACACAATACAAGAACATGGCAGACACCTGTCAGAGAGACTTACTTATAAAAGAATTAGAAAGCAAGTAAGAAGATAAGAGAAGGTGGAAGAGGAGACAGATGGAAGTGATGGATAAGAGAGAGGATGAAAGAGAGTGATGTACATGTACATGTAGTGGGGTGGAAAGGAAGGGAAAAGGGCTGGACAAGAAATTTGAGTAGATATGATAAGCTTTGATAGTCAGACTATGATTACATAACCTTTCCTCCTCTTTGTTCATGT